TCAAAGCTGAGTCAGGAAGCACCCTACCTGCTGTATTATCTCTCTGGCCCCATGTCACTCTTTTCAAGTTACAAAAATAGAAAGGTTCCTTGCCTTTGAAATGTGTACTAAAATTGGGGGGCGAGGGGAGCGGGTCACACCTGGCTTGTGCTCAGGGCTCACCTGGTATGAAGTGGGAGACCATATGAGGCACAAGGGGTCAAACCCAAATTGGTAACTGCATCTCCTGCTGTCGGTACTGAAATATTTGAAGACTAAAATGTTGGCGCTGGGGACCTAGTTCAGTGGGCTGTCGAGAGGGCGTGCTGGGCATGCTGCAGGTTTGGGTTTGGTCCTCAGCATCACAATGGTCCCCCCACCATCACCAGGAGTCACCCAGGCCATGGCACAGTGAGTTGTAGCTGAGTACTAACAAGTGTGGTGACTCAAACTCCCCACAGTCCACGAAAAATGAGTCGAGCGCTGCTTGGAGACAAGGCTCAACAGCAGCGCATCTGCCTTGGGTTTGGTCGCAGCTCCCATTAAAAAAGAAAAATTATAAAGAATGAAATGTTAGAGCTGGGATTTGCTTCTAAATCCCATAGTGGAGATCTGTAAAGAATTGGAAGATGTTCAGGGAAATGAGGTCACCAGCATTCCACGGCAGAAGAGGTGAAAGATATGCAGGGGAGCCATCAGCTTACCCAATACACCTCTGTATGTGTTTAAATTTTCCTGTAATTTTACAGGGGCTGGAGCAATAGCGTACAATAACAGCAGGTAGCATACTTGCCTTGCAAGTGGCTGAACTGGGTTCAATCCCCAGCACCCCATTATGGTCCTTCAAGCCCAACAGAAACCCTGAGCACTTTCAGGTGTAGGCCCAAAACAAAAACAACAAAAATTTTCTGCGTTAAAAGATTTAAAAGGCAAATCACACTGAAAATAGAGCATCTTTAAGATACCAAAGATTAGGAAAGGATCAAATGCTTTCATCGTGATTTTATCTAGTTAACTTGGTTAGGAAATGTTAAAATATTTTTCATAGAAAATTTATTTATGGGGTGGAAGTGATAGTACAGTGGGTAGGGCATTTGCCTTGCATGTGACTAACCTGGGCTCAATCCCCAACATCCCATATGGTCCCGAGTGCAGAGCCAAGAGTAACCCCTAAGCACTGCCAGTGTGGCCCAAAAACAAAAATCAAAACAAAAACCAAAAACAACCCTTATTTACAGCATACATAAAATAGTCACAACAGATACCTCACACAGCAGGTGCTGAGTTCAGTTCCCACACCAGCAGATACAGCCCCACGGCTGCCAACACCACCCAGGCCAAGCTCTGCAGCACTCTACCCAGCACTGACAGAGACAGCCTGTTAAAAAACGAAAAATAAAATTGCCCAGCAGACTAGCTACAAAGAAGCAAATGAACTGTGTCTGGCAAAGGGCAATTAATTCCTAATTAACTAGGTACTTTCCTGACCAAACCTACTGGGCTTTGGTCAGGAAAGCACCTTTGAAAAAAAACTGGGCCACACCCAGAAGAACTAAGGGCTCTGCATTCAGGAAGCCAGGGGCCATCTGGGACAGCAGGACTGGTCCAGGCAGCCGTGTCCACGCCAGGGCCTTCCCCGATGCCCCCTCCTAGCCCAGGAGAGCAGCTCCCGCAGCTGTCTAAGGTACCTTTGACTTTCAGAGCTGAGGCTGACAGCTTTTCTCCTTCTGGCTTCATCGTCGGGGGCCTGTTGTGAACAAGTTTCCACCATCCTGGTTCTCCAAATTCCTGGGCCCCTGAGCGGAAGTACATAGGACTTCCCACACTGAGGCAACCCGCGACTGTACTCCACCAGGTGGATGTCTTTTTTCTGGAGAGTGCAAGAATTTCAAAGTTACCGGCTTTCAGGTCTACTCTGATTCATGCACCCGCGATGACTCCCGGCCAGTAGCAGGCTACAGAAGCTTTCTGGAAGAAACTGCCAAGTCTAGAGAAAAGCCTGGCTGGCTTCCAAGCCAGGCTTTCTCACCTTCCAGCAACTTCGGTTTCTTCCTCCTTAAAATAAAGCAGGGCCAGAGAGCGACAGGACAGTGGGTAGGATGCTAGCCTTGCATATGGCTGACCTGGGTTTTGTCCCTGGCATCCACTAAGCTCCCCAAGCATCCCATAGTGTATGGTCAGGAGTAAATGTTGTGGGTGTGCTCCCCCTCCCCCAAAGAGGATAATAATAAGAGTGTTTATCTTCCTAGCTTGCTGGGTTGGGGTGGGGGTGGGGGGGAGGGAGAATTAAATAAAATTATTCAAAGCTCAGAAAGCAATTCTCATCATTGAAAGTCCACATTCCCTAAGGAGTTGAATGTATCTCTCAGTCAGCTCCTATTTACCTTGAAAGGCCACAGTGGGAATAAAATTATAGGGTATGTTCTAAAAATACAGAGTTGCCCCCTTCCCAAAAAAGTGGGGGTGGGTAGTCCAAGTATTTAAAAACAACGACATAAAAATGGGCTGGAGCGATAGCACAGCGGGTAGGGCGTTTGCCTTGCACGCAGCCAACATGGCCTACCCGAGTTCGATTCCTCCGCCCCTCTCGGAGAGCCCGGCAAGCTACCGAGAGTATCTCGCCCACACGGCAGAGCCTGGCAAGCTGCCCGTGATGTACTCGTTATGCCAAACACAGTAACAAGTCTCACGATGGAGACGTTACTGGGCCCACTCGAGAAAATCGATGAACAACGGGAGGACTGTGACCGTAACATAAAAATAAATAATAGGTATAATAGATTGGCCCTAAACAAACTTTTAAACATTTATACCTTAATAAAACATTAAATCCATAAAAGAGAAGTCTAGAGAGATCTGAAAGGAAATATATTCAAATTTAGAACTGCATTACATAGTATATAATGGTGAAACAGTTACCATTGTGAACAGCCATTACATACTACAGTAAGTTTTAAGCACATATTTACTTTGGTTTTGTTGCTGTCTGGGGGCCAAACCCACTGTGCTCAGGGCTCCTGATCTGGGCTCCCTTCAGGCAGTGTTCAGGGACCACATGTGATGCTGGAGGTACCAGCAGGAACGATGTGCCTTAACCACTGTACCGCCTTAACCCCTCAACTATCTCCTGGCCCATAGAGCAGTTATTTTTATAATTTCATTCTATTTAGGGCAAATAATATGGGCTTCCCGCTTATTAAGACTGTGTGAATTTTCCCCTCAAACTAAGCAATTAAAAAAAAAAAATTCTGGGGTGGGATGCGGTGCTGAGCATCACACAGGGTCACGCCTGCGGGCGCACGCTCAGCACTCCAGCTACTCATCAGAAGCCCCAGAGCGAGCTTTCTTCCTTCCTCTCTTTCCTCCTTCCTTCCTTTTCTTTTTTCTCTCCCCCTTTCTCTTTCTTTCCCCCCTCTTTCTCTTCCTTCCTTCTTTTCATGTTTTTCCTTCTTAAGAAGTGATACAACTGAAGGCCCAGGGATGTGGTCTCAGCAGGAGAACTAGGTTCAACCCATGGCACACAAAAGAACTATGTGCTTTGCTTGAAGTAAGCGATCGCTCAGGAGATTCACTAATATGACCAAAAACATGTGTTGCATGGTTAAGCACAGAAAGTGGAGAGCAGTTCATGTCTTTCAGTAGAAGTATTAAAAACGAAAAAAAAAACCTTAGTTGAATGCTCTCAGAACACGCTTTAGAAATGAACCAATAAAACTGCAATATCCTTAAAATCAGGCAATTTAAATCCAATTTCCTCATAAGCGACAATCCACTAAACAGAAGAGCATGCCAGATCGTGAGAACATCCCAAGATCCAATTTATTAGCTTGACCCCCTTCTTATCCCTTATAAATGGGGCATAATCAGTCCCACAAATAGTGCTAAGTCATTATCAAATGAAGGCAACAAACTTGCTATGAAAAAGGACCAGTTATACTGTCAATTCTTTCCCTAGTATCACGAAATAACCCAAGAACAAAAATAACTCCTTTTGTAAAAACGTACTCATCTATCTCTCTGCCCCGCCACCGACCATCAGAAGACGCTCCTCCTCCCCACTGCCTTCCCGGGCTCCGGTCATGGGCTCAGGGCCGTGAGCTTCAGAGTAGGGATGAATACCGACCCTCTGCCTGGCCCTGGGGTTCCCAGAGCCTTCAGTCAGGTGCAACTCATTCGATCATGCAAAATGAACAGCACCACAGATCCAGGATGGTGCCTAACAATCTCATCCCTGAAAGTGCTCACCGGTGCTGTCCCAAATACACCTGACAGCAACGAAGGTTGTACTGGGCGCATAGAGACCATGTTGGCTAAAATACGGCCTTAGTGTCTGCATTGGCACCTCAAGTCGGAGGAAGCAAAGCGGCCAGTGAGGCAGAGCCCTCAGCACCAGAATCAAAGCTCATCCTGAGGGGGAGTAAATAAGCCACGAAGGGCAGCAAATAAGCCACATGCGTGTTTGCACGCCCAGATGCTAGACTACACTGAGTCTCAAAGTGGAACAGGAAAGAGGCTGAGAGATGGTGCAAAGGGTAGGTACTTGCTTTGCTCGCAGCTGGCCAGGGTTCGATCTCCAGCCTACCATATGGTCCCCAAACCTCACAGGTGTGATCCCTTGGCATAAAGCCAGGAGTCAGCCACCACAAAATTGGGTGTGGGCAATTTTCCAACTCAACCGCTTACCCCGTGTGTAAGTTTCTACCTTCCAGAATAAAAGCTAATACTAGTAAGACTCTATGAAGAGCAAGTCAAATGAGCACAGTAACTAACTTTTTTTCTTACCTCCTATGAGGCACTGATTTTATGGGGGAAGGGGGCGCTTTGACCCTACAGAGAGGCTCTCGCTCGGGCTACTCCCAAGACGACTGTTCAAGGAAACGCGCCCAACAGAGACTGAAGCCTCCACGTGCAAATCCCAGGTGCCAGCTAACCCTTGAATGATCTCCCGGACCCATGGCTTTGACTTACTAATTTATTTTTATTTTTCTATTATTTAATTTTTAATTAAAAGTTTTTTAAATGCTGTTAAATCAGTAGAAAGGCTTGTCTCAAGGAGAAAAGAATACCAGCATAGGTTAAACCTTCTTGCTATAGCAAGTGCAAATTGTGTCAGTTTTGATCATCTGCCACAGAGTGCTGGTTGCTTGCAAGCAGGGCATAGACTTTTAAAAAGACCTAATAATCCTTACCCTGAAACAAAAAGCTCTTCACCCAACTATTAAACCACCTGCTCTCATTTAAAGGAACTTTTCAAAAAAGTTTTTGGGTCATACCACTGCCATGCTCCAGGCTGCTTTCTGGACCGCATGGCCGCAAAGTGGCTGCGTGACTCATTGTAAGACACTTTCTACCCATTTTCCACAAATAGTACACCATATCTTATGGGGTTCAGACAGCAGGCAACAAATCATAGAAAAATATATAAATATATGACTCTCAGAGAGCCCGGCAAGCTACCAAGAGTATCCCACCCACATGGGCAGAGCCTGGCAAGCTCCCCGTGATGTATTCGATAGGCCAAATACAGTAAAGTCTCATTCTCCTGACCCTGAAAGAGCCTCCAATCTTTGGGAAAAGCCGAGTAAGAAGAGGCTGCTAAAAGCTCAGGGCTGGGAGGAACAGAGATGTTACAGGCGCCCACTCGAGTAATTCCACGATCAATGGGATGACAGTGATACAGAGATACCCAACGGTGCTCAGGGGGCTCACTCCTGATTCTGTGCTCAGGAATCATTCATTGTGGTGCTTGGGGGACCTTGTGGGGTTCCAGGGATTGAACCCGGGTCAGCCGCATATAACGCAAGTGTCCTACACACTCTCCTACACTGCAGCCCCTAGTTAAATGTTTTTTTAAGATTCTAAGAATGCCTTTAAAAACTCCTCATGCTCTGTTAAGCGAAATGACTCAGAAAGAAATGGATAGACATAGAAAGATTACATACATCTGGGGAACATAAAGTAACAAAATAGGAGACTAACACCCAAGAATGGCCGAGATTAGTACCAGGAATTTTACTCCATGGCTTGGAGGCCAACCACACATACTAGGGGAAAGGGGAGCTCAGATAGAGAAGGGACACCAAATAAAGGTGTTGGGAGGATCCTCCCAGGATGGGAGAAGCATGCAGAAAGTAGACTATAGACTAAACATGATTGTCACCCATTGCCTCTTTTGCAAACCACAACACCCAATAAGAGAGAGAGAACAAAAGAGAATGCCCTTGGGATTGGGGGCGCGTTGGATACCTCATGGGACGAGGGGGGGGGGGGGGGCGCTCTGGCCTGTCCTTCACGCCTGACCGAGGTCACCAGTTGCCCCCCACGAGCGGCTCTCCAGCACGGCCATGGCCCCAGAAGCACAAGGACTTAATACAGAAATCCAGCAGCTTGGAGCAGAAAAGCGAATGGACTATACATTAATCCACGCCATCTTGCCTGCCCGGAGGGGAAAGGGTGTTGCTCCCTTCCACCTTCTCCTCTCTGGAAAGAAAGATGGCGGCCACATGGGAGCCTGGTGGAGAGCAGGTCTGAGCCGGGGGTGGGGGCGTGATGGATACCCCATGGGACGGGGGGCGCTCTGGCCCGTCCTTCACGCCTGACCGAGGTCACCAGTTGCCCCGCACGAGCGGCTCTCCGGCACGGCCACGGCCCCAGAAGCACAGAGACCAATCTCTTAATTATCTGACTCTCAGTAGAAATACTTGCAGGGTTAATAAATAAAATAGCAGAAATCCAAAACCAAGCGGCCGCAATAGCCATCATTTAATTCTTGAACCCAGCTGTAGAAAGCAGATCATTTCACAATGCTTTTTCAGCATGGCTGAGTTTGGGGGGGGGGGGGTAAAGTCTAATAATAATGATGCAACTTTTGTCAAAACAATGAAGCTAGTCAAAGTAGACAGTGTTAACTAGAATTCATCTACCCCACAGACACTGGGGGTGGGGGGTTGGGGGGGTTATTGGGGTTCTTCATGGAGAAAAATAAGTATTGGTAAATGGAATTGTGATTGATATTTGCATGACTGATACCTAAACTTGAAAGCTTTGTAATTTTTCCCACAGCGATTCAATAAATAAATAAATAAATAAAAGAGAATGCCACAGAGGCAGAGTGGGATGCGGGGGATAGGAGGTGGGAGGGATACTGGGATCCGTGGTGGTGAGAAATGGGCACAGGTGGAGGGATGGGTGTTTGATCGTTGTATAATTGAAATCCAAGCACAAAAATGTGTAAGTCTGCAACTGTACCTCATGATGTCTCACTATTAAAAAATGTTTATTAAAAAAAATAAAGTTTCTGTTAGCATAGAATAAAGGATGCATAAATAGTCCTTTAAAAATTATTTATTCATTTTCAGGAAAAAATACATCAACAATTTACAGTTTTGTTTTCTGGTATTTTTTCAATGATTTAAGTATATACTTAAAATTGAGTTGACTTAAAAGCAAGATTAAAGTTAATATAGTAATAAAATGAATAATTATTAATGTTAATTATTGAGTCACCAAAGCCATCGGCGCCCGCCCCGAGGGGAGGCTGGGTCGGGGCCGCCATGGGTGGGGGGGGCGGCGTGCGATCGGCTGGAGGTTATCTAGAGAGTCTAGAGTCTAGAGTCTCCTGCCCCCGCGCCTGGCTGTCCTCGCCGGGGAGCCTTGGAGGGGAGAGGGTTGAGTTTTCCTCCCCGCCCCCACCAGGGCTCCGGCAGCTGAAGACCTCCAGAACCAGCCACCACCATGCTGAGACCACTCTCCGCACACCTGAAGGTACCGGCAGAGGAACAAAGGCATGCGGGTCCCGGGGCTGAGATCTCCAAGCCTATTCGGATCGGGGCTGAGCATCCTCCACCCAGATCCTCCAAATTCCAGTAGGCAGGGGTCACACCCACCAACTGGCCCCCTGGCACCGTGTAATCCCATCAACAGCCAAGACTCAGAGACTATAAAACCCAGCTCCCGGAAGCGCGGACATCTTATTATCTCATTCCTACTTTGGACAAACTGGCAGGCTACCGAATGTAACCTGCCCACACGGCAGAGTCTGGCAAACTCCCCATGGCGTACCCAGTATGCCAAATACCAGTAACAATGATGGGTCTCATTCTCCTAAAGAGGCTTGAATATGGCACTTTCTTAAAAATCTCAGGGCTAGGATGAAGGAGACGTTACTGGGGCCTGCTCGAGGCAATCGACGAATAACAGTATGGTCGTGATCGTGATCGTTAATGATTGAAAACCATTATCTCTATATTGATTATAGTGTCTTGAAGAAGAAAAACACTATTATTTTTATTGTAATTGTGTAGAGTGATGTAAGATTAAAAGGGTCAGATTAAAAGCCCATAAGCATAGGGCAACTAACCCCCATAGAGCCATCACCATGGGTGGCAGTTATTTTGTGAAAACAGTTTTAAGTTAAATGAGCTTTAATGCTCAAATAAAGGTACTGGTTTAATTTCCCTCTCTCTCTCTTTTTCAAATATAAAAAAGACAATACTTGTGTTGATTGCCTGCTCTTTGTAGTAATTACAAGACAATTTTCCTTGAACTGTGTCTGTCTCTTAATCACAAGTAACAGCAGGTACTGAGCAATTGATATGTCACACATCTTACTCCGAACAACACCTACTGAAAACTATATTACGAAAAATACTAAAGAGTTCTAAATTAAATAATGACATTTCCCCAGCCCCTACAACTTGATCTACAAAGTATAGAAAATATATTGAAAATGCATTTGAATTCATATGTTATGTTCCAGAACATATAGGCTGTTGATGATTGTAATAGAAGACTCTAGTAAGTAAAAATATGTCATAATTACAAATCCATTAGACTTGCATTTTAAAATGTTCATGTAGAAAGAAATCAGCAGAAAGGAACATGCATTGTTTCTAATGTTCTAATGTGGTTACACTTGTAAAATGTTTTCTAAATGACTATTTGGGTCTTATTTTTTTAACTTGATCTTCAAAAACTGAAATGTTCTTTGGGATGAGGTAGGTATTTCAGATCTGAAAGCATGATTTTTTTAATCTTTCCTTTATGTCATACATATCACAGTAAATGTATATTTGTAAATCAATATACATTAGAAAGGCCCTCCCGTTGATCATCGATTTGCTCGAACGGGCCCAGTAACGTCTCCATTGGAGACTTTGTTGTTACTGTGTCTGGCATATCGAATACGTCACGGGGAGCTTGCCAGACCCTGCCGTGCGGGCGAGATACTCTCAGTAGCTTGCCGGGCTCTCCGAGAGGGGCGGAGGAATCGAACTCGGGTCGGCCATGTTGGCTGTGCGCAAGGCAAACACCCTACCCGCTGTGCTAATGAAAAAATGAGTACAATTCATATTGTAATGAACGTGAACCCCAAAATGTACATAGTTTCTTAAAACTGTGGCAAACCAATAAAAATATTTTAAATAATTAAAAAAAAATCTCTTCATGCTCAGCAGAAACAGCTTTCATGGGAAGTAGTTATTTAAGTAACTATTAAATAACAGAAACTGGTTATTTAAGAATTTACATTTCCACTATGACTTTATACAAATAAGTTGTTGATTTTTGTCTTTGACCCACTCCTGGCAGTATTCAGAGCTTACTCCTGGCACTGCATTCAGAAATGACTCCTGGTACATTTGGGGACCGTACAGGGTGCCAAGCAAGGGTCAGACTCGGGTTGGCTGTGTGCAAGGCAAGTGCCTTACCCGCTGTACTATCTCTGGCCCCCAAATAAGCTTCTTTTTAAGTAATTACAAAAACCAATTTCTTAGACGAGAACAGTATTTTCTGGATTAAAAAAATGTAATCAACTGCATGAACTATTCTAATTCTTTAAAGAGCTAAGGTCTCTCAAATCCCATGATTTGTTCATTTTCTCTATCATCACTGAGAAATAGTATTTTAAAAATTTTCTTACCTATTCCCTAATAAAAATGTCCAATGTTTTTCAATAAAAGCACAGATATCTTCTTTCCACCTGAAATAACCTTGGCGGCCACTTCCTTCCAGAGACAAGTTGTACATTGCCAACATCACAACCTGAAACAGAGAAGGGTGAGAGAAAAACATGATTAACAGTGGACAGCTCAGCCACTGTCATGCGGCACTGCCCAGAGCTCTCACATCTAGCCCAATCTTGT